AGGTTTTAAGGCACCAGCATGGATTCAAGACCTTAATAGGGTTAGAAGTCTCCTGAATATTTCTCTTTTTTCTCATCTATCTCTTTATCTGTTTATCTGCTTGAATTTTCTTATAAGTTGTTTCCTACTTGCTGTAGTACCTTTCTAACTTGCTTGAAATACCAATTTGGCAAAATTTCACATTCTCTTGAAAAATATCTTGACTGTCTGGCCCACACTGGAGTACTCACAAGTTTCCACTGGAATGCCAGGTTGTCTTGGGAGCCACAGGTGACCAAACAAACATGAAGGTTCCTGTTTAGGAATCACTATTAGGCTAAATTAATTCCTCAGGCTCTTTCATGTTGTATTTTACCACTCCAATAATGTTCAGATGTAAATACACTAGATGAGAAAATACATACTTTTCTGTCATATTTTCTTAAAGATGCCCCGTTACCACAATAACAAAACAATTAATTTTGCTATAAGTAGGCATTTTAAGAAATTTCACTAGTACTGTGTAGGTTTATGTCGGTCTACACAAAGAAACAGGACAGCTGATGATGTCAATTAAGAAAATGCAAAGTATCAGGTCCAAAATTTCTGTGTCTTTCAGTCTAGTATTATTTGGACTGAGACTTAGAGAAAACTGCTGATGAAAGCACAATGGGATAAGGAGAATTCCCAACTTGTATTGTAACAGAAAAACTGCACGCAAATTGTCAGCTTGTGTCTGTTCTCTACCCAACTGTCTGTATAATTAACTGCCAACACTGGCTCTCTCAGAAGTGCATGGCTAATCCAAAAACTTTTTATTCTTACTTCAAGCTCTATCTGATGAAATGGGTTTTATAACAGTGCTTCAAATTACCCATGCTCTACCACGCCACTGTCCTTCCTTCTGAAAGGTTTCTTAAGATAGCAACACCATTGTAATTAAAAACTAACAAAAATCATCTTAAATGAATAAATTGAGGGAGCAGGGTAGGGCAAAAATGAGTGAAGTATCTTTTTGGAATCACCTTTTAGCCGTGAATAATTTAATTCAAATTTAGCATGCCCTGTCCCCTTTTCCAGTATAGTGTGGGGGGAAATGGGGAAAAATGCAAGTTGTGGTAGTTTGGTAGGTTCACTGAGAGCAATGTAAGTCTTTTATACTTTGGGTCTTCCTTAAAATAAAAGCATGTAATTACTTGGCTAGTTGCATTTAATGCTGAATTGATATGCTTTACTAGGCACCACCCACCAGTGATGAACATGTTTTCCTAAAGAGGAGGAGCAGATGAAGCAATTTAAAATCCCTAAGTCCTTCTCTTCATTTTGCATTTTCCTCTTTCTTCAAACACAAAGGGATGATGTTTCTTCTCTCAGTTCTGTATGACAGCTTCTTCAGCAGTACATTTGTTGCTGCCCTTCATCAGCACTTAGTTCCTCAGGAATTTACTTGTCAGTGTAGGTCTTTTGTAGATAATAGAACGAAAAGGCCTGGAAAATGAGCTAATGGCATTGTCAGGATAGATGTATTGATAGCCTGATCCTCAATGAAAACATATTCTGAGTTACTGTGGAGATAATACGTAATCTTCAGCTACTCTGCATTATCTTGTCATGGAGTTTCTGGCAGGCAGGTAAGAGGTCACTCCAGTCTCTGTGAGAGCTCTGTTTTTCCAGGCAGGATGGAGAATGATCTGAACAGTGCCAGGAAGTTAAGGACAGAGATAAATCCTTTTCAGGTTTCTATTTGCAAAGAAATATTTAGTACTAATGATAATTTATGTGATAAATATTAAATATCAGTCTGACTGAACAGTGCCAAAGGGCTTGTTTATAGACTTAGGAAGATGTGATTTGTTCTTCACTGTGCCAACAGCAGGGAAATGGGAATATTTTTATGTGTGTGTGTGTGAATACTACTGTTGTGGTTTGATACTGACCCAATGCCAGGCACCCACAAGAGCCACTCGCTCACCTTCCCCTGCTACAACTGGGCAAAGGAGGGAGAAGAGCAAAAGAAAAATTAACAAAGGCTTCCTGAGTGAGACAAGGACTGGGAGAAATATTTCAAGGCAAAACAGCTTCAGCTGTAGTTACAAAGTGAAATTTATTACTAACAGAATCAGGGGAAGATAATGAGAAGTAAAATATGCCCTTAAAACACCATATCCCCCTAGCCCCTTCCCGCTTCCTCCTGCCAGCGGTACAGGGCATGGTCAGTTCATCATCAAGACTTTCTTCCGCTGCTCTGGGAGAGGAATCCTTCCCCTGAGAGGCCATGGAGTCCCTCCCATGGCAACATTCTCTGTGAACTTCTCCTGTGTGGGTCCACTCTCACCAGCAGCAGCCAAACCGCACCTGCTGCAGCGTGAGTCTCTCCATGGGCAGACACTCTTCCCAAAACTGCTCTGGCAAGGGTCTCTCTTCTACAGGGTGCAGTCCTCCAAGGACAGGCTGCTCCAGCCTGGAAGCTGCTCCAGCCTGGAAGCTGGGCCCTCTCTCTCCACCAGTCTGCACTGGATCAAGCCTCCTCCAGGCACCCACCTGCTCCTGCATGGGCACCTCCCCCACGGCTGACGTTGCATCTCTGCATCCCCCGTGGATCCCCATGGGCTGTGGATGCATCTCTGCATCTCCCATGGATCCCCATGGGCTGTGGGTGCATCTCTGCATCCCACATGGATCCTCATGGGCTGTGTGTGCATCTCTGCATCCCACATGGATCCCCATGGGCTGTGGGTGGATCTCTGCATCCCCCGTGGATCCCCATGGGCTGTGGGTGGATCTCTGCATCTCCCATGGATCCCCATGGGCTGTGGGTGGATCTCTGCATCTCCCATGGATCCCCATGGGCTGTGGGTGGATCTCTGCATCACCTGTGGATCCCCACGGCTGCAGGGGCACAGCTGCTTCACCATGGTCTCACCATGGCCTGCAGAGGAATCTTGGCTCTGGTGCCTGGAGCACCTCCTCCCTCTCCTTCTCCACTGACCTTGGTGTTTTCCAAGTTGCTTCCCTCACATGTTCTCACCTCCTTCTCTTCTCTGACTAGAAGCCGAAACCTTGTGACTTTGTTTTGATTTTCTTCTTAAATATGTCATCACAGAGGTGTTACCAGCCTCTCTCATTGGCCCAGTTTTGGCCAGCAACATGTCCAGCTTCAGAGCCATCAGGATTTTGTTCTGCTGGACGCAGTGGAAGCTTCCAGCAGCTTCTCACAAGAAACATCTTTGTGGACTCCCTGCTACCAAAAATCAGGCCCTGCTAAACCAATACAACTGCCTTCATTACATAAGAGACCATAATGATCTTGGACTAACAAGTAGCTGGCCTGGCAGTTTAATGAGACAAGTCTCTTCCATATGTTTTTTATCATGGACCATAGGTACTGATACTTGTAAGGTATTGGATCACATAGCTGATAATAGGAAGCACAAGAGAAGAGCTTTGTACTAGGAAGTTTTCCCGGCAGTTAATCATAAAATTTTAGGTTTTATATCTGTAACAGTAAATGTTGTATTACTGTCCATATAACCACTCAAAAGCAAATACAAACCATTTGAGGCAGAAATTAATTCATTTTCATCTGTAAAATTGACAGAATCACAGAATCAGAATATTCTGAGTTCAAAGGGACGCACAAGGATCATCAAAGTCCAACTCCTGGCCCTGTACAGCGCCATCCCCAGGAGTCACACCATGTGCCTGAGAGCCTTGTCCAAAGGCTTCTTGAACCCTCACAGGCTTGGTGCTGTGACCACTTCCTTGGGAGTCTGCTCCAGTGCTCTGGGTGAAAACCACCCTCTGGGTGAAAAACCCTTTTCTGATCTCCAACCTAAACCTGCTCTGACACAACTTCAGGCCATTCCCTCACATGCTGTCAGAGGTCACCACAGAGAAGAGATCACTGCCTGCTCCTCATCTTCTTCTACAGAGGAAGTTGTAACTGCTCTGTGGTCTCCCCTCCTATTCTCCAGGCTGACCTGATCTCAGCCATTCCTCATATGGCTTCCCCTCAAGGCCCTTCCCATCCTCATTGCCCTCCTTATGTCATGTTTGCTACTAGCCCCTCTTGCACTCCCCTTTCTTTCCTCCTTGGCAGCTCTGGGTTGGTATATGGGGTTGTTGCTGTCTTTAGTTATTGGGGTCTAGAGCGTGTTCAAAAGTGCTCATACTCACAGAACTTTGTACTTCTGATCATTTCTCGTCAGTAGTGTGTCAGGTCTGGACCTCTTTACCTTCCAAGATCAGATGCATCCACTTTAAGGTAGTGGAAGCAGGCAGGATTGAATGCCATAACATTACAGAAAGTAAAAATAGAGGTAGCTGAACACCAAACCACAAGACACCTGCTGTGATAACACGTGCAATTGTAACACACTTTAAGAGAAGAATGAGTCCAGAGGCTGAGAGCATTGCTTGTTTTGAGGGACAAACAGAAGTGAATACTGAGCCACATTTATTTGCCCATACTCTGAAATGACCTCTACAGACATCTGGAATAGAACAAAACCAATTGGTTTCTGCTGATACAGTTGTACAAAGCATGGCTTTCTGAAGGGGCAAGAGACTTTCTAAACTGTCTGGTGAATGTACAGTGTTCAGATGTTCTTGTTGCTGCATTTCATAAGTAGACATTTCTTTTGAGGAAGCAGTGACATTTCCATTAGCAGGTAGATATACACTTTGCTTTTCATGGGACAAAACCATTGGAGCTAAATTCATTGCTCTTCAGTGTCAGTGCTTCCACTAAGCCAATGATACTACTCAGATTTCGGTTACAGGCCAGGGAAAGAGCCATGGCAGTGGCTCTCCTTATTCTACTCATCACTCTCCCATTTGCATTATATAGAGCCAAGAATGAGACAGCTCTTTTCCCTCTGTTGATGTTTGAATACTGTGGTTATGAAATAGGTGGGCTTTTGATGCAGGAAAAGTTGACTGTCTTGTGCTGTCACTTGCAGCAACAATATTATCTTTAAAAAAAAAAAAAAATTACATTTCCATTAAAAATTTCATTTCAGGGTAAGATGGTGAAAGGAATGGGGGGTGCAATGGACCTGGTATCTAGTGCACAGACCAAAGTGGTTGTCACCATGGAGCACTCAGCCAAGGTAAGGCTCTGGCACTTTTTAAATCAGTGTTTTGTGCTGCACAAAAGACAAAAAAAAAAAAAAGAAACAGGAAAAAAAAGAAACAGGAAAAAAAAGTCATGTTAATTCTGTTACTTTGTGATGATTTGAGTTTTGCTGTTAGTTATTATGGTGATGCAGCTGGAGGCTAGGTTAATATCGGTCCTTTCCTCTAGTAAGTAAATCATTCACCATGGGAAAAAAAGATTAAATACTAACTTCAAGTTTAAAAGCTGCACATATTTTTTTAGCTACTTCATGCAAATTTAATGGGGGTGGCCATTGCCAAAGCTGTAGTAGATGCTACTCTACTCTTTGCCTCAGAATAATTTGAAAAATGAGGTTTCCCATGGTTAAATACTTGTTGTGATGGAAAGATACTTGCCTTTGAAGTTGTCAGTCACATTGGTACTGACACCTTAACAGAATATATTTTTTGGCGTGATGAGATGCAGGCTCCCTTACATCATTATGTGTAAGTAGTTAATCTAGAGACTTCTTTGTGAGGGTATTGATATAGTATATGCTATAGATAGACGTCCCCCCCAAAAGATCATAGGATGCTTTACATTTGAAACTTCTAATGTAGGAGAAAAAATGTACTGAAGGAGAAAATTCTCTATCGCAAATGTTTAGCAATTTACTTTTTTAAAAAATTATTGTGTTTCTGTTATTCCAAAATCATTATTTGTCTGCAACAAGAATTAATTTTGTGTTTTCTGAAGTAGTATGTCTTGTCAGAATTTGCATGATAAACTATAGTAAATATGTAAATATGAGAGTAAATATATTAACCGATGTGTGTTTTTTAAAGGAGATTTGAAAAATTAATTGTCACTTGAAAATAAAAAAAAATATATATTGAAAAATATTGTAATTTCACAAGTTATACTAAACTGTGATCTCAAGGAGCACATTTTGAGTAACAGGGCTGAGTTTAGACTGATAGTTGTCGTGTTCATATGCATATATGAGTAAATGAAAGTATTAAATGAATTCATGTTCATGGCTTGCATCACTATCACACAGCCTCCCAAAAACTAGTAACATAGGGAGTTATCCATTTGCTTGGACACACACTTTAGGTATTCATGTGATCTGAATAAATATTTATGCTAAATGTCTACTTACTGTGGAATTTGGTTAAGGCTTAGAGTCCACACACAATATAATCAAACCAGTTTTTCTCCTAAAGGTACGACTGCTAAAATATTTTTCCAAAACAGTGTTTGGAAATTGTTTGCTAGGTTGTTTTTGTTTTGTCTGTAGGAGTACAGGAAAACAGGAAAAGAAGGAAAGCAGAGTTAGATTCACTGTTATGAGCAGGTCAGGCATAGAATTATTTATTTTGTTGTATGTATATCTACTTTGTCCACTTTTGTGCACAGTGTGCCTGGTGTACACTTCTGCAGTTACAGGTTTTTATAAATAATTTCTTCTGCTTTTGTGCAAAGGCACTGCCAAATTAACAACATGCAATATTTTTATTTTACTGTTATTTTATAATGGCCCTTTTTCCTCTTACCTAGACCCCCTTTCTGTGGTCTTCATATTGATGCTTCTTGCTTGCTCAGATGTGAAGATTATGTCCTATAGTAATCTAGTGTTTAGAGATCAAAACTGCTGTTAAGAGTTTTCAGGTGCTCTTCCTTTTTTTTTCTTTTTTTTTTTAAATAGTCAAATAATACCCATGAGGCCAGTTCTGAAAGTCAGAAACCTTTTGTTGGGGGTGACTCCATCTTCTAGAGCTGATTTTCTAAACTCATTACTTTTCAATTCTTTACACCTAATATTTTATCAAAAACTTACTGCATGTGAATGTCTGCATCAGAGGAGCAATCCTTCATCCTGCTCGAAGCCCAGTGTGCCACTGGGTGAAAGAACAGTTTGCATGTACTGAGACAGTCTCTTGTGTCTGCTGGCTCTCTAATAAAGGGACATTTCTGTAGTCTTATTCTCCAAATAAATAAGAACTCTACCATAAGACATGAAAATTTCCTGTAAATCAACAGCACTCAAGATTTGATGAATGGAAATATAGTGGAAGACATGGGGTGTGGGCAGTGCCTTCAGTGGACGTGTTCAAAACGTGCTGCAAGAGGTAGTTCTTCTGCTAGTTTTGTCTGCTTATGATCTTGTGGAGGGTCTTCTAATCCTTTTCAAGTTTGGTTGTTTGTTTTCTTTTAATAATAGTAATGACGTGTTAAACATTAAAGTAAGTTTTTAAAGAGTTTAATAGCCCTTCTCCTTTCAGTACACATGTTGCAGTTTTTAAACATAGAAAGAGACTGAGTCTTTGCAGCACAGGCAGAATATAATTGACACTAAATTATGATGGTGGAACTAGTAACTGTCGTATGACTCAAATGCTCAAGGAACTTTATTCTTTTGAAACTCTGATATGCATCATGTTACAAATACAAACAAATATACTCAGTCCCAAGTTAATTACATTTTAAATTACTTAAGTTTTTACATGTAATGAAAACCAAAATCTACAGAAGATAGGTGAGAGAACATGAAATCAGCATTGTAGAAGAATCATCAGTTTAAGAACTACTGTTGAGGAAGGGTAACAGACAAGTACATGAAATGATGAGGGAATGGAGTAGGTGGATGCAGAATTGCCACTACCTCATAAACTAAGTAGGGATAACTGACTGAAATTAGTTGAAACAAGAAGAAACACTTTCCACAGCCTGCTAAAAAAGTTGTGGATGATAGCAGAATGATGCAAAAATCTCAAGGAATTAAGGCTATATAGAAGGAAAAAACCTATCTTTTGAGGTTGAGTTCATCAATGACAGTTAAATACCACTGCCTGGAAACAGTATCTGACTCAGAAAATCTGTGCATTACAGCATTATCAGGAACCAAGAGGGCATATTTGCAGAAGGATATTTCAATTTTTGCTCTATATGCTTAGGCCACTGAGAGACACTTGGCAAATGGACCTTATGTCAAATTCATTAGTTTTTCTTAATGCATTTTTTCTAAATTACCTCTTCTTTTGTAGCCATGAGGAAAAGAATAATATAAGCTTGTTATTTGATATCTAAACAGTGCATTTGTGTCTAATTTTCTAAATATTGCCTGAGAGAATTAGAAGTCCTCACCCCTATACCATCATTGACAAGTTTTGCAAAACACAGTAATGTAAGGGCTGATAATTGTTCCATATTGTAAGATGAGTTGCCTACACTGTTCAGGAAAGCAGAATGGAGACTGGTTTTAAGAACTTGATTTGGGCATGACTGAAATGTGGAACAGTGAATTGAAAATTCCTTTCTGTGAAAAGTTCTGATTTTAATGTGTTGTGGAAGACTAAGGACTTTTTTGTTCTTCAACAACAGAATTTTTTATTTAAAGCAGACTGGAACACCTAAGGTTTTATGTATCTACACAATAGTCTTTTCCTTTATCTGAACAAATCCTGAATAAATCTGAATAAATTCAGATGGTAAAAATCATGCAGTTCCATTTAAATTTCTCTTCTTACAGTGCTCTGATAGATGTCTTCCAAAAGTCACAGAATCATTTAGGTTGAAAAAGGCCTCTAAGATCGTTGAGTCTAACCTTTGAAAAGATCAGGAAATGCATTTCATCTTTGAGGCTAGCTGGTGATACAATAATCTTCAGCTCAAGTGTTGTGAAGCTCAAATGTATCAGTTCCCAGGGTCACAGCAGCCATTCAGGCTGTCACCTCCGTAAGTCCATGCCTTTCAATCTCAGTTAGGTGCCACGAAGAGACACTTCATTTCACATGGCCAAAAAGCGTAGCTGATATGTTGATGAAGATATTACAAATGGCACAAATTCGTCTTGGCCCTTACGCAGATTGCACAAGGACATTCCCAAGATGGACAGGATATAAAAGTAGATTAATTGAAAGTAACTCGAATGAAGAAATAGTTTCTCACAGAGAAAGAAGAGAAAGATAAATTCAAAAGCTCATGGATTGCTCATTGTGACTTATCACTCAGGAGTCAAACTGGCTGTGAGAGGGCCCCTGATTAAGCCTTAAGGTAAACTGATGATTCTAAATAGTTAAATGAGACATGTTATACTCTGAGGGTTTTGAAATGCATAACTGAAAATTGATGATTAGACAAAAAAATTAAAAGCATGGGGTAATGAGAGAAGTGTGCACTTAATGCTACTTCTGTGAAGCACTTACAAATATTGACTAAAAAAGTAATGATCAATCTGCCTTATATCCATTCATAGCTCTTGCAGCCTACATTAACATAGTATGATCTAGAGACATTTTTTTAACTATTATTTTTTTTAAATGAAGAAGAAGAAGAAAGGAAAAAAGACAAGTACTTTCCCAGAGACAATATGGATAAATAAACTGGATTTACTGTTTTGACAGCATGACTGTGCACTTGAACTCTGGGGATCTGAAGTTCCTCTGTGTGTGGCTGATCACATATGTACATACTGTTTGTGATAAAGGATAAGACAGGGAAATACGTTGCCCATAGTGTTGTTCCCTAATTTTTGTCCTCACTTCAGTGAGGTTCCATATATCTCTTGTCCTCACATTGTAGCAGGAAGGGCAGGTTATTAAGCAACAGTGTGCAGGACTTCTAAACTCAGGAGTCCACTCCATGGTACAGTAAGATTCTTCCTAGTTAGCCATTGAAGTGAATGTGAAGAGTGTTCTGAGCACATTGAATATTTAAATAACACTGAATGGCTACAGCTCTGATTTTCGTGAACTTATTTGAGTTTTTTAAAAACTGATATTTGTATATTGTTAAACACAGGGAAATGTCCATAAAATCCTGGAAAAATGCAGTTTACCACTTACTGGGAAACAATGTGTTGACCGCATCATTACAGAAAAGGTAAAGTACTTTTCTTGACTCCTTGTTAATAATTTCTTTCTCTATCCCTAATAACAATTGCAAATCTTAGCAAAGATGAAGAATATATTCAGTATCTGTTGCCATTGAAGGGAAAAGATGGCCTTGGCATTCAGATCCAGAGGTCTTGGGACTCATATATTTCCTATTAAAGTTTTGACATCTAGCATACTGAACTGTACCTTTAGATGCCTTCAGAACAAAGATGCCATATATGACAGGCATGAAAACTGTGTATCTCCTTGTTTTCCCCAAAGTATTTCTGACAATTTGCTGTGACATGCCTATTTTCTAATATGGCTGTAATCATGGCTTGAGAGGCAAAGTTGCATTGTTCTTTGCTTTTGTTAGGTTTTTTTGGGGGTTTTTTTTGGTTTTTTTTTTCCTTTGGTTTGTTTTTGTCCTTTTGTTTTGTTTGGTTTGGTTGGTGTTTTGTTTCCCAGCAGAGCACACATGGATTAGACAGTTGGCATCTTCTTTCATGTATACTACATACTGTTTCAGGGAAACCTGTGTTTGTAGCAGAGCTTTAGTTCTTTTGTCCTTACTTGATTCCATTTGTGAAGCAATTTATTCTCTGGTGGAAGTACACATAAGCATCTCGTACTGTTGCTGATCAAAGTACATTAGTGGATCTTTTCAGCTAAGGATAAGTGACTTAAGGTTTTTTGCTGTAATCATACTCCTTTTATTTTTGGTGTTTACATTTTTAAGGACTTAGAATAGTCCCTCTATGAGCCATCTATCATGTCAAGTACAATGCATCAAAGGTGCTGATGAAGAATTTGCTTTCTCATGGTGGGATATTGCTACATCTAAAGGATTTTTCTTCACAAAGTAAGGGAAAATAAAATAAGGAAGTTTTCTTTTTTTAAAATTATTCTTCCACTGACTGACCACATACAGATGTAAGGTACAAAGAAAACGAGAGAGAACAAGGACTAATAGAAAATGTTCAAGTAGAAATGTCTCTAATGTTTGTCAATTACCAGATCTTTTGGCTTTATTAGGAAATGATACAAATATGCAACAACATTTGGATAGTGTTGCAATTCTGTTTCCACACTAGCAGCCTGGAATGTTCCTTATGCCGAGCATCTCTTTTAAGACTTAAAGAAGCTGTCTCTTTCCAGTCCCATAAAAAGCAGTTTCATGTGCCCAAAGGACTGCTAGGTTTCAGGACACTTCTGTGACAAGCTTATGACTTCACTTTGATTTCAAGTTCAAGCTTCACTGGTCTTTTGCTACTAAACTTTTATTTTTAAAGAAAATTACTTTAGACCTTATGGTTTCCCTGGCAACTGAATTGCAACCTGTGTATCTCCCTCTGGTAGGCACTATTAAAGTGCACATTGTTTTACAGGTATTTTTATTTGATGCTCTTGTAAGTATCAGAGGTAGAGTGCATATCTTATGAAGACATCAGACAGAACTGCCTTTGCTCCTTCAGCCTCTTCCTCTCAGGCTTTCTTTTAAAAATACTGCAGGGAATCTTGTCTTTCACTGCTAGCTTCTAAAAATTCTAGCATTTGCATTTGGTATGCAGTAGCTGTTGGAGAAAACTTATAGTTAGTCAAAGATGATCTCTCTACTGGCCATGAAATGAAATAAAAGGATGGGGAGACATTCCCTTGCCGTTTCTTTTGTGGTCTCTTGGTGGACATTGTCTTGCAGCAAAGAACATCTCAGCCCTTTCCTTTGAACCTCCCATTCTCACCAGACTGGAGCAGCAGGCATGGTCCACATTTCCTGCAGTGATGAACAGCTGCACTTTTCCCCCACAAAACTAACACATACTAGATTCTAGATATTCTAATACATTCTAGATTCTCTTTCTCAGTACAAAAAAATGTAGCAGAAACTTGTATTAGTCAGTCATGAAAGTGAAAAGTGGCATCTTATGTTACTGAAGGGATGCTATCAACTTCAGCAGACCATTTTGTTCAATGTTTACTGCATTTACATCCTCATTTTCTCTTTTAATAATAAAAAAATAATTATGTGCTTTTTTAACTTAATAGGCAGTGTTTGATGTGGACAAGAAGAAGGGATTGACCCTCATAGAAATCTGGGAAGGACTGACAGTAGATGATATCAAGAAAAGCACTGGCTGTGACTTCGCAGTAAGTAATTTTACAAACCAGTACAGTTTGGAGTCAGAACAAATATTCTTCACAAATACGTATCACATGAAGGCTTGTAGTTGAAGTAAGTTTCTTCGTTATAGGTGAGAACTGAATAGATTACATGTGGGATTTACAATGAGAGGTAATTCGGAGCTGATGTAGTATGATGATGTCGGAAACATCAAAAGCTAGGAAAACCAGGAGAGATGGAGAAATAACCTAGACTAAAAAGACAAGTGGAAAGGAAATTTCTGTGCTTTGAAGATGGGAGTTGATTAATCTCTAAGAGATGGATAAATATTTATTTTTTCACTGTATAAGCTAGCTTACCTAACTCTCTGTAGCTAAGTTCCCAGCTAACTTTAGGTGGAGTTGTGAGTCTTCTTGACAGGAGTGACTACAGTTTTCCCCTCTGTGTTAGTGGTGCCAGTCAATGAGCTGCTCTAAGACTGCCTTGTGCAAATTGAACTTATGCTCTGCATTAATCCAGAAAGCCCCTGCCTTTTGACATTCACATTCATTCTTAAGTCTTACTTAATGCAAACACAAAACTGCATAATTAATGGAAAGCTGTAGCACTCTAGAGTGTAACTGAGTGCATGTGTGGTTGATAATATAGATTCTTCTTGGCCTGTCCCTACATCGAGATTTCAAATTTTTTTTTCTGTGCTGTGAAGTCTTTTGGGGCAGTTCAACCCTCCTTTGGCAAGTACAGTAAGAATGACATTATAAAAATTGTGCTGGAAAAATAGTTCAGAAATATTTAGTAATGAAGTAAAATACTCCTTTTTGGAGAGCTTCATGGCATGGCTATGGCACCTAATTGACAGACTGCAGAGCATTTAGTATGTGCAAGGGTTTTTTATTAAGGCTTTGAGCATATTCTTGGTAGTAAGAAAACTTTCTGAGCAATGGACCTGTGAAATTTCATTTATTTCCTGGTCCATAAGAGAGTATTTCTGATAACTAAATACGATTGTGTGTGTTTCTCCTTAGATATTTTCAATAAAAGTCTGTCAACTTTAGTTATCTGAGAAAAAGATGTTGGATTAAAGGCTAGTAGCCTACAATTGCAGAGTGCAGGAAACTGCTACAGAATCACTTTGCTGGACCTAACTATGCTAGGTTACTAACTTTCCATGTCATATTTTAGGGAAGTCATTATTATTTTTTAATTAAAGTGGAAGCAACCTTCCATATACAGCAGTTATGTGTGGAAATTAAATGATTCATCCAGCTTCTGACTTTGATCTAATAAAAAATTATAAATTTTTTAGAACTTTGATAATGCCAGGACTTCTTTTTCTTGGCCTGATCTGTCTGTCAAGCAACTAGCAGCCAGAAGTAAAACATAAAAATAATCTTTATAGGTTTGTATCTATCACAGTCAGTCACTTTGCTTTGGATTTAATTTGGGGAGTAACTTCATAATTAATTTGAAGGTGCAACTTTTAGTAAGCATTTAAATAGAAGTAAACTACAGCAAAGGACTTCTGTTTGCAGAAGTCAGTGAAAACACTCCTTACTTTTTCCAAACCTGCTTGTTTGAAAGGACCTGGGTTTTTTTTTTTTTTTTTGGTTGAGATGACCAAGAGATACCTATTCAATTAAGTGGTGTTTCCCAAAATAAAGGCCAGCTGCTTATGCTCAAGGCAGTGAAAGCAGAAGCAAACAAAAAATTCAGAGAAAGAAGTGATAAGGTTAAAATGATGGGCCATGAGATTACGCTTTGCAGCAAGTATGACTGGACAAGGCAATTATGTCCAAAGAAAAGATTAATACCACCCACTGTTCCTTGGTGCTTTCCTGGAAATATTACAAAGGAGTGATATAAACTTCCACTCTTTAGTGTAGCCTGAAGTTAGGAGTTGAGGAGAGGTACTGGAACAATTCACTGTCTGGCTCCCTGGGATATGTTTCTCTAAGACCTGGAAGGGACCTTTCACAGGCATTATTTCCTAATTCTCCAGAAAGCAAACTCCAGCACAGTCTGCTTTGTTTGGCTGCCGCAGTCATGCGTGAAATCACGAGGTGTGGGCATGAAAAATGTAGATGCTTCTTGGTTTATGCATTTACATGTACTTACCTTGAAAGCAGCTTGCATAAGTGCTTGCAAAGCAATGCTTGTTTGCAAAGAGTGTACCTCTGCCAGGGCACGTGCAGGTGTCGGTGTGATGTAGGTATGGCTCCTTACAAAAGTGCCCACAGTCCCTACACCACTGCAGATTGAAAACATGTCATCAACCTCAATTATTTATTAAACCTGTGGCATGGAAGTGCACTTCCCCCCACATCTTGTAAAGAATGTTTCCAGGCCATAGTGTCCCAATCCTGCTATCATTGACATCCTTACCAAATCTTCTGTGGAAATCTTTGACAACAAGACTGGGTAGCTGTTGTGTAATATTGGACCCTTGATGGCCTGAATTACATATATAGCAAACAACTACAGGTTCTCTGCCTAGTTTTGAATTTCAGAAAATAGGAATTTGAGCATAGTGATAGGCAGTTATTCAGACTGCAGCATCCCTGGTCCTTTTTTTTCACATTTCAAAACTCTGCCTCAGGCTTTCTTTCAAGAGTAACAGTTGTGCTTGTGATTATTTATGTTCTCTGAATGAGACATCTTGGGTTTATTTATATCGATGACAGGAGCTTTAGTGATACTGTATTGCCACAGTAAAAGCAGGATCATATATTTTCCTAGTTTGAAACAGAACTAATCAGGGGGAAATGAGGAGCTGACCCCTTTTCTAGTAGCTTTTTCTCCAGTAGATGCAGTGTTATGATCTGAACTAAAACAAATGTCTCTCTGAGTTCACTAGAAATGAGATTTTAAGAGATGACTGTATCTTTATATGTAACTGCCTCACTCCATGTAGACTACTCCTGTTTGGAGAGGAGAAATTCATAGTCTATATGGCCATATTTGAGACACATTTGACTGTACAGTTCCATTTCAGACTACTTACTTACTTGGAAAAACATCTCCTAAAGAACATTTGCTAAACAAAATGTCAAAGGAAACGTGATTTAGAGTCAACAATCTTCATTATAGACTGGCATCATTTAAAAAATAAACAATTCACCCTCGATTTTACAGTGCTGTGAAGAAAAAATGTTGGCTTATCTTGCATGCTTAAATAAGATTTGCTGTAGCCTAGCATATAGATCACCTTGGCAGGCAATCTGTTTGGGCTTGTACTGCCTTTTACCATTGATGAGACCATGACAGAACATACTTTTGCAAATGTATTTAATTATAAAAATAATCAGGATAAGTCACAAATCCCCATCACAACCTTTTTTTCCCCCCTTAATCTTAAAGCTTGTTTTTTTCAAAATGTTCAAGACAACATGTTGTATAGAAAAAGCATCTGCCAAGTCTAGCATATGTTCAAAAAGGAATTGTCTGTGCAAGTTCAACCACTGAGTTCAAGGTTATAGAGGATATAGATTTCATATTCTGGAAGTACATTTTCATTTAAGAAACATTTGAGGCTGCTGCAAGACTGAGTTGATTATTACACGGAAGCTGTGGGGGTTTTTTTTCCTGATCAATCACCCCTGCTGCAAAAACCATTAAGAAGATATTTTTGTATCATATATATACACATATATATTTGATGTTAGAATTGTGGTTTGCAGTTCTCTGAAATTAAAAAAATAGGTGTTAATAAGAGATAAGCAACTTTTATTAATTTAATGAATGGGAACTTTTTTTTTTCTTTTTGGTTTTTAAGGGCTCAATTTACATTTTTGAACACTAACTTGCTGTTTCTTCCTTGTTAAGGCCAATGGAACTTAACAGGATTCAGCCTTTTTCAGAATCAGAACCTGAAGGAATGCTTGCTTCATGGAAATTCAATGAAATAAGCATAGGGCTGTTTGTGTAGCTGAAAAGAGTACTTTGGGGTTGGAAATCAGAGATTCAACAGGCTTGGACTGCAACAAGCCCCAGAGCCCATGTGTCTTATCAGTTGAGAGGCCACATACTGGACTGCATGGGCAAACTCCTCCCAGAACACCTACCTGTCCAAATTAGCAAAGTATTTGAAGCTTCCAAGATCAGGTGTTCTTCCTGCAAGTGAAATAATATTAAGACTGTCTTGCTTAGGATGTGCCATAGGAAGTGCACTGTGAATACAGTCTGCATTAAGCCCCTTCAGCCCTACTAAATGCTGTCCTCAGTGCAGAGTGATACTGGATTGACTGTCTCTAGTGGACTCAGAGAGTTCTGAAATGCTTTCTGCATTTCAGACTTGATTGCTCCTTGTTTTCCAAGCACAAACCATCTGTTTTATTACATTGGCATTTTTCTGCTTATTTAATCACATTTTAGTTAGAGCAAAAGTTGTGTTTGGGTCCAGTTCTGGGTGGTGCTGGGCTTTCACCACCTCCCTTATCCTGAGCAGACATTATTGCACATCAGACTCACAGGCATCAGACCCATCTGAAGTGGATAGTGGTACACACAAATGACAGCTGTGAGCATCAGATGTGCAGACACCACATTTAATGGAATATGCTCATCAAATGTAAAACACTTGATATTTTGATGGTACTGAAATCAACAGCATCAGAAATAATAGAAATCTCTCCAGTAATTGCCTTTGTTGTTGTTTGCAGAATACAGATTTTAGTGCTTCTATCTTCATCCTCCAGTGTTTAGCTTTACTTCAATGGAACCATCCCTGTCTGTGGCACAAATAGGCCCAAATAAAGTGAGGCACATAGTAACTTGGACTCTGAAATGTAGAAACATTTCTGGAACTAATCCAGGAATGCTGATGCATTGTACGTATCACATCTATTTTTATCCTAGTTCACACACAACTTTGAAAAATCAATGAATTGTTGCTATCCACTGAAAACATTTCATTAGCATTTGATACAGTAAACACATTCTTCATGAACTAAGTTTTCCTCAGTGGATAGTCTCATAAAGTTATAAATGATGATATGTAGAGACTGGAGGAAAGATCACGTAGAAATCTAAGTGGTACAGAAAATACAGCCCTGTACCTCTAAAAGAAAGAGGCATTAATGCTTGAAAAGGCACTTATAAATTATTCTTTCATGAGTTAGTTTCTTGAGTACTGTTAACTGAAAAAGATGGGTTAGGGAGGCAGGAGGATGCAGTAGGTGATGCTTCCATTGGGCACATTAATCAGCTAGGGGCCAGATTATCCCTGGAACTGTTTTTCATCCTGAAAAAGTAAGAGCACATGAGTTATTTCTGATCTTCGTCCTGGGGCATTAGGCTGGAATCAGGAGATAATTAAAGAGGCTTGGACCTTCTGTGGAGACCTATTTCTCAGAGGGTTTGTGTAGACCTGAGTGAGAGTCCAAGCTAATGTTAACCGCTGCTGCTATACAAAGTCTTCTCTGTATTGTTACTATTTACACCTTGTTTCCTCATCTACCTTCCTATTTAGGCTTACTGTGTTTTATTTTTGGCCAGCTGTACATCTTATAATATCACTAATTGAATTTTGTGAGTAAATGAATTTAAATAATAGAACACTTAAATATGTCCTTACAGAAAAATTAATGTGAATGGGAAAATGCAATGGTTTCTTTTTTTTTTTTTAAAGGCAAAATTAGAATTAACTGTATAATCATTAAACAAATAAAATTGAATGTGAATGGAAGAAAGACATTTAAAATTAGGAAATATAAATTTGATATTGTATTATATCATTATCAAACAAATAATCCCATCAAATGTATCTATATGCAATAGTTGCAGAGTGTTTATTGCATATGTATACCTTTGATTGCATATCCCCTGCTCACATGCATCTTCCAACAGATTGGCTGTTACTGCACAGAAGACTGTGCAGGGGGCAAGTACGGGTTCATGTGCCCAAGTTTAATATGCTTGCATCCTTACACCCATAACCTATCTCAAAGTAAATGAAGCTGAGAGTCTGGATACAAGCACAACGCATATCTTATATTCTTGAAACAGAAAATTTAGTTGTGGTAGTATTTATCTCTGACATACTGCAAATATGGCAGGTTAAATAAGCACAGTGTCTCGAGTCTTCAGTGGTACATGGTAGATACAGGTGGAAGTGAAGGGTTTGTTGTACTGCTGGATTTTATCTGTATGACAACTCTTGTGGGGTTTTTTTTTCCCTTTTTGCTAGGTTTCACCGAAACTAATACCAATGAGGCAGATTTAACTGCGAATTACAGACTGGGATTCATTTGCAAGAAGGCTTGTTTCCAAACGGGAGAAATTGGTGACTGTCTTGCAATGTTACTTTTTTTTCATTTTCTTTTTTTTTTTTTTAAGGGCTCTCTAAGTAGTTTCCAGATAGTTAAACTCAGGCTGTAACTATAAGCCTAATTGTATTCTGCTTTCATAACCTTACCAACTTTAATGGAATGGTGAATATATTCTCTTAAGTTTTGAATCATGTTATTGTAAAATGTTAATTATCACTGTAAAAAAAGAAAAAAAAAAAAGCCTTGTAGTCTCTCTGCCAAATACTAGGGTTTTTTAACACAGAATTAGAAGAAAATCATGCAAAACTTTTGATTGCCTCTTTGTTTGCTGATATCTGTTGCTCTGGAACTATAGCACTTATGTCTATTCTCCTGTAAAGGTGTGGGTCTTTCTTTTCTGGAGTGGTCTATAACAAATACATGTATCTGTAGAGAGATATTGGGAATATGGATGTTCCTTTTCCTGAACCTTTTCATCAGTCTGTAACAAAATTGTTTAAACCAGTGGAAGTAATTGGGACCTAAATATATCTGCTGTTTCCACAGCGTGTGTCTGTTGGTACTGAGAGGCCTGTACCTCCCAGAGTCCAACTGTGGCCCTTCATATTTCAGTTATACAAACTAGAATGGGGCTAGTGTGAAGGAGAAAGATGAAAAAATGTCCGTCCTCATGCAGACAACTGGTAGCTGCACAATTTCCCACATGAACTGCTCTTATTCTCCAGATATAATGCTTCCCCTCAGATCCCAGTCAAAGGCAAATGAATATAGTTTCTGGAGTCAGGTCTGTCCTTCCAGTGTCTCACAGAGAAACAGGGGAAGAGAAGGTTGTGGACACTTTGAAGAGGCTTCTGAAGGGAATACAGATGGTTAAGGGTAAAAGCAATATGCACCACTCGTCAATGAAGGCTTCTGAAGGGAATACAGATGGTTAAGGGTAAAAGCAATATGCACCACTCGTCAATGAAGGCACCAGAAAAATCTAAAGACTTTGGAACCCAATTTCATCATATCTTGAGACAATCAAAATGAAAAGATATTATCAGAGTAATTTTGATGAAGGTCTTATTTTCCCTGTTAATTACAAAATCATTTTTATATTTTGTTACTTTTGCAAACAGATAATATAACAGCTTTGGATCTCACATACCAAATCAGTACAATATGTCTTTATTATACAGAACATGAATTGACTGGAAATCAACATTTACTAAAATACAATGTTCTCTCCAATATAATGGTTTCTGTCATTTCTGTCATTTATATAAATAGGAGCACGTAAAACACTTCAGTTAAAATAATTCCTCACATAATGTGTGACATCAGGACTGGGGCATATTAAGTGACTGAAAAACAAGTAAAATGTAGATGAACAAGAAGTTTATATAATGCCTATCATACATGTAATAAGCATGTTTAGCACACGACATAGAAAAGTATTCTAATATTAAGTGAATAAGGGATTCACCATAATCAATGTGTGTAATGGAAGGAATGTGACACATTTCTCAGGCAACCAGACAGAAAAATCATGCAATATTAAGCTCTTGTACTAGCCTTTGTACAGCATTTTTCTATTCTAAAATATGAAATGCTTCTCTTTCATGGAAACAGCTACAAAATTTGTCTTGATCCACACTTGGGTTCTACAGCAGTAAAACTGCTTCAGTTGGAGGTGTTATATTGTATAGTTGCACTTACCCTAAACAGTTCTTTGATAATCTCTTGTCAATACCGTAACAAGCTACCCTTCATCCCAGAAAGAAATAAACAAAATGCCTTTGTAATCACCATTATGCCAGTACAAAAGTATTCCCATAATACTAAACTGTGACTTGAACTCCTGGGTGGGTGAACCTGCTTGAACACCTGCTAGTGGGTGGTAGGCCACTGTGTAGCCTGCATCTGTAGGCAAGACCTGATGCTGAGCCTGTGGGAAAGAAGTGTGTTGTGCAAAGACCAGTGCTGATTTCATGATTAATGTATACAAGTGATTTGGTTGATAGGTAATTTTCATCAAAGACTTGAAACTACTTTTATCATAGTGCTCCAAGATATCTTAACACAGCATGTTAATTTTCATGTGTTTTCTCTATTTAGGCTATTTAGATGTATTCCCTGTGTTACGCACTCATTCCACACGAATTAAGTTTGACCATTTTTTCTTCTGTGGAGGTAGACTCAAATTCTGCTCACAGAGGTTTTGAAGATTAAAAATCTGTATGTAATAAAACCTGACTATTTTAGCTCACTGTAAACAGTTTCACTTTTGAATAGAGCAGCCTAGAGGCCTCTTCCCTAATCCATGAAGACACTTCTGTGACAGTTCTGACCCTTGTGGTGTTATACACAGCAAAAGGTGCCTGTCTTTACCTTCTGAAGAGCTACTCTGAGGGAATGGGTGTAGTCTCTGAAAGCATTTTGTTCATCTTCACTCAAAGTTTTTGTAGAGTACCCAAAATGGATGATGGTTTTAGGGGAGAATTATAAAAACTATTGTAAAAGGGAAGGTAGCTACTGTTAACTTATCCAGAGGAAAATTACCCCACAAAACCAAAAAGACCAAAGAACACAAACATTTAAATAGATGGACAAGTCTTAAAGAAATCTATAAATGACAATGTTGATCTATTGCAATTATCTATGCTACATTAGTTGTAGAACTGATTAGTTAATTCCAGGGAACATTTACACATCTATGAAGTACAGAAGTGTCTGAGGGCAGGATCAGGTGTGCACTGATTCTGCCACAGGACTTCACTTTGCTGGTACACGCACAGAAGCCATTGTTGTCATTAATACATGGCTATAAAAAGACTAATGACCTGTTAAAGTCTGGGAGTTTAGCACCTTGGTTTCTGAGTCAAAGAATTAGGACCCAAGAACTCCTGATTTTCAGCTTTTCTGGTTCTCCACTTACTGCCTTGTGGAATGACAGCTGTGTTCTCTGCCTTGTCTCCTGTTGCTGGAAAAGGGGATGTTTTTCTTCCTACCTCACAGGGATGTTGTGAGGAATAAGAAGCTAAGGTCTGTGCAAGAGGTTATTTGTTTCTCTCCATCTTGGGGATCACACTTGATCAAGAGTGTGGAAGAGTACTTGAAGAATGTCATATGTGCTGTACATTTGAGTTCTGTGTCTTATTTGTGTCAGTGTTAATGCAAGAGAGCAAAAGTACATGGTGCTGAACATTGGGGATAAAAGGAGAACAGGCTCTCTCCGTATACGGCAATGATGCTGTAGCAACAGGAGACAAGATATGTATGTCACACATGAATTTTTGTATCTTGAGGACAAAAGATTGTGTTAAAATAGTGGTATTGTTATGAAAATGTCATGAGTTCGCACAAGATAATTGCAACAAGCTTTGAATCCACTTCTGAAATGAATTTGTTAAGCAAAATAAAAATTAAAGCACTCCTAAGTATTTCCCTCTCTGTGGGCACAAGTGTGGTTCACAGGTAAGGTATACTCTGAGCAGCAGTTGCAATAGTTGGCATTGCAGGGATTAAGGTTTATAGGGACTGAAATCATTCCCTGCTTGACAGCACTTCACAAACAAGGACGGCTAATAGTCTTTGTTCTGAAGCAGATGATGATTCTACTATATTATCACACTGGACTCCACTTTATATTTTATTGATTTTTTCTCCCTGAAAAAGGAAAAAAAATGTAGAAAACATAGCTGTGCTGTAAACTCTGCAAACTAAACATCAAAGTCCTTTCTATGTATTTGCAAAACAATCAATAAAGTTAAGTTTTAAAATCGCAAGTTATGTCTATTAATTTGTCTGTTACCATTTTTTGTGGTGTTCTGTTCTGCTTTTGGGAGAAGTAAAAGTTTGGCTTGTGTTCACACCAGCATATCACACATCAGCACATGGCAAAAACTTATTGTCTTGTCTGAGTGTGGATGGGTTTGATAAACAGAAATAATGAAGCTCAAAAATCAGTTAACAGCTGGATTCCATGTGTTCTCTCTTCTCACTGGTGTCTCTGTTGGGTCAATCTCAAACATAATTATCACATTCATTTTCAAAATGGCTTGTTTTTCAATCAAGTTAAATAATGGACTGCATATGTAGTCCTTAGAGAAGAGATTTTTTACCTTTTCATTAAAACTGCTGTAGAACTGATCACATTTGAGATGTTAATCATCGATGTTAGCGTGTGGCTGCACTCTGAAAATTGTACTAGATGACACATGAAGACAAATTCCATTAACCACCTACTGAATGATAAAGTGGATGATTGCAAAGGGATGAAAATGTCTCTGTGTAGTGGGGTCATCCTTCCATACCTGTCATAAGGTCATGCATAAATGTGTCACAGAATCATTATCTCTTCAGTGTCATCAGAAAGCAGGTTGATAAATGTGAAGAAAAATGTTTAGAGTCATTAAAAAAAACCCTGATGTTTTTCTCGGAAATTAAACTCTTCAGTAATTTATATATGTGGTCAAAATCCAACATCCCTGTGAAGGGGGTGACAAGGTAAGTGCCAAACCCCCAGAGATAATACAGCAATCTTGCAGCTCTGAAATCCACTCATACAAATGTGGAAGGCTATGTTTTCCTCTGACAAGAGGAGAAAGTTAGTGACAGGTGTATCTGAGAAGTTTTGTGGTACCTTGTATGTCTTCTGTTTTGCCTATGGACAAGCTAGTTTGGGTTTGAGTAGAGTTAATTTTGTTCACAGTAGCTGGTATGGGGCAGTGTTTTGCATTTGTGCTGAACACAGGGTTGGTAACTCAGGGATGTGTCCCTTATCCTGAGCAGTGCTTTCTCAGAGCCAAGGCGTTTTCTGCTCCTCATCTGAACCCAGTGAGGAGGCTGGGGATCACAGGAACTGGGAGGGGACTTGGTCAGGACATAATTTCTTTGCAGCACAGCAGTAGTCTTCTGAGAGCAGAACCTCTCTTCTGCACATAGCCATCTGCTTATGGAGACCAGGGATCTTAACATACCCATTCCACAGTGTGTTTGGCAGTTTAAACAAAAGAATTTCAGAGAACAACAGGATGGGGAAGGAATAATTTTCTGAATGTATTTACATAACATCAGGTTTTGAGGCTCCAGCAAAGATAAAAGTACCTGTTGTGTTTGTGTTATGAAAACTTGCTGTGTCTGGTTCACATGTTTATGTACACATTTAGAAGAAGTAAGGGCATGGGAGAAATATTTGCCTTTGAGGTGATTGGATTCTCCATCTGCCTCCCATGATACTCCTGATTGTATTTTATTGGTAATGGCTTGCAGAAGCAAACTGAACATGACTTATTTGTGGGAGCGGTAGAGTCTAAAACTAGAACTTTCATTTCCATGTTCTTAAAACTATCCCTTGAGCATGTAATCCAGAGAAAAACTTTAATTTGTGTAAATCTTGGATAGATTATTAGACTGCAGCTTCTGTAGTGCTTTTGGGCATTCCCCCTGGGGCTATTGCACAGGTGAGAAATGCTGCCCTTGGTGCAGTGCAGATCGTCATGCTTCTCTCAAACCTGTGCCTGTATGAAGTCCACAAGCCAGCACCACCCACCTGCTAAAGGGTCTCACCTTGTATGTAGGTTTGTGCTGTTTTCAACATAGAATTGGCACAGGCCCATCTCCTTTGAAAAATTGTGATGAAGTTTCTTTCCCTGTATTAACTCAGCAGGGAGAGTTTTTGCAAAGGTTCAGCTCCTGACCCTGACCAGTAGGCTCAAAAGTACATCTTTCTTGTCCTAGGAAAACACCTAACCAGCCATGCTGCTGAGGGAGAGAGCTGCTCCAGGGAATAATGTCTTCTTCAGCAGAAAGGATGGCAAAAGCCACAAGGCTGTGAATAAAGTCAAGAAGGAGCAGGAGATGTTCATGTAGTGTGCATTTGCCCAGTAGTGGCAAGACCTGAACTGTCCTTCAGAGCATGGCTCGTCTCTTAATAACATGTGCTTTCAAATGTGTAAGCAACTCACTTCCCCTCCTTACTGTCTGTCCCATGTGAAGACACCTACCTGCTAAGTGTTTCCGGGCAAGCAAAAAAACTGGGAAGTCTCTTAAAGAACTGGCAGGTCAAGCAGTATACTGCTATGGCGCCTCAGCACAGTACACAGAGGGATTTTCCCTTTTAATATTGATTTGCCTCAATGAATCAAATTTGTTTGTAGATGCCCATGCTAATTACTTCTATTATTTAAATAAATTCCTAAATATTCCTTTTGGTTTTCTAGCTGGAGACTACGTACTCCCTTTTCTACACAGGTAGAAAAGGGAACTGAACTCTAAATGCACGGAAAGCCTGTTTCAAGAAGAGAAAATATTGCAGCCAGGAGGAGAATTAGTTTGCAGAAACTGAACAAAAACCACATGAAAGGCAAACTTATATGTTACCGCCCAAAAAGCAAAGGCGAGCCACAGAAGCAACACATTTAGGCCACTTAAGAAAGTATATATTAATGTAATACAAATTCAATCTCATCTGTTTAAGCAATGAGTGAATAAAGACTATAAATTGGATCTGATGCCTATGTCCTGGAAAATCACATTTCCCCCACCCGTTCTGAAAATTTGGCTGTATGAGTAATTAACACTATCACTCAGATTTGTCCAAAAAACAAGGCAAGCTATGTGATGCTATAGCAGGCAAGGCTGTCATGTCCAATAATATCCCTAAAAATACAAACTTTAATCAGTCACTCTGTCTTACCACTCATTTAATTCCATCTTGAATTTGTTCCAGTAAAACCCATCACCCATGCTTTCCTCTTTCTGGCACCCTACTAATTCTAAACAAGTAGCTCCCTCTGCTCAAGAAAGACTGCTCAAATTTCAATAGTTTTTCTGCTTGCCTGGATTTGTTCTTAGGGGGAGGAGAGGAAGTAGTAGTGTGTGTGCCCGTGTTCTGCTGAGCCATGCCAGCAGGGGAACTGAGACCAGAATAGCAGAGCAGACATCGTGGGCAGAGATGGTGCTGGGGAATGGTGTTAGAGAGCCACTGCTGAGCATCAGCACCCCTGGTATTCTGGCCAGTTTCTAAACTGCCACTCACACATCTCCTGTCTGAAAAAAACCCAGATGCATGGTACGTTCTTCTCTCTGTTTTTAATTTTATTTCAGCTTGGAGATCGCATGGCTGCTCTGTTTGAAAAATTAAAATGATGAACTCCAATGAAGAGGATGAATCCAAGCACAGAGCCAGGGGCTTGGCCACACAAGTCCTGGGCATTTTCCTGACTGCAGTGCCCACTGGGGCAAGAAGGAAGACATCAGGCTTGGACATGGCTCTTCTCAGGTCATAGATGCTTGTCCTGGGGGCTGTGCTAATACAGTGGTAGGGGACAAGGCTGAGAAAGTCTCAGGACATCTTTGGAACAGGAGGCAGGAGCTGAGATCTAGGACTGAAATGGCACAAACCCATTTTTCTGTCCTGCATGCCGGAACCACTGCTAGAACTCTCAGTTCCACCAGGGAATGCTTCTCATTGTAGTGCTAATACTTCTTCAGGATTACAGGCTGGTATTGCTGATTTTCTGCTGCTGTATTGATTAATACCAACATTTTCAGATTCCTGTCTTCTTCAGGCAACCTTTGGCCTGGAAAAGGAGAAAAATAAAAAAAAATAAAAAAACAACAACCAATTGCATAAATCTGCTAGCTATAAAACTGAAGGATGGTGAAATTATTCTGCAACAGCCTATCCATATTCTCATTAGAGCAATTCAGCATTTTTAGGACATGTTAACTGCTGCAGCAAGAAGAAGAAGCTGCAGATCAATATAAAATAAACCACAGCTTCACAAAAGCCAATTTATAATTTCCAAAGTACTTTTCCTCTGTTGTGCAGAAAAGTCATCACTGGTACATCAGTGGGACAAAGTTACAGAGAAAGCCTCAGACCACTTTGGATGTGGATTTGCAAAACTCATCCAGTCTGAAAAAAACATTGCCATATTGTAATGACAAAAACCTGGAGGTAACCTGTCACAGAGAAACTGGAAAAGAGGTATGATCACTGATAACTTCACTTCAAAAGTGGAGAGGTCATGGCTGGTAATTAATTATCCAAATCAGCCCTGAGTATATCTCTTCCAATCAAGCTATCTGACCTATTGCAAAAGAATCCCGCTGAGAAAGCAACAAGATGAGACCTTTTTCCCATGGGGATTTTCACTTTACAGCAGATTATTTTCACAGTGGAGCTGAAAGAGGTAGAGACCAGGGAGCAGCAACATCACATCAGGGCACTGCTGGTCCTGGGGCAGCAAACCCACCCACCAAGGTCATGATTCCTGGCTCTTGATTTGGATGGCATCCTCTTTGGGGTGATCTCTACAAGTGCACGTGTTGTTTAAACATATCTTCAAATTTAATCAGATTTAAGTGTGCACTTGTGGGCCTCCAGGAGCACCTCAAACAGCATGAGCTTAGAGGTGAAGGTCAGAGACAGTCAGATGACTTGAGAGGGCTTTTTGGCTCCAGCAGGGCGCGGCCAGGCCGGACCCGCCAGCAGATGGGGATCTGCAGAGTGTGCAGGACACACTGCTCTCCCGGGAAAGGTGGGAGGGGAAAACTGGGAGGTGCTGTGCAAGGCAGGTTCTCCATGCTGCCAGTTCCCATCTCCAGGTCTGGTTGAGGCCTTGCAGAGTCACGTGACATGGGCAGACCCTTCAGCCTGCTTCGCAGAGATTTCACGTCTCTTCCCAGAGATGCTGAGTGCTGAGCCCTGGCGTAGATGGACACTGAAGGGTTTCTGTATACAGAATAGCACTTCTGACATAACAAATTTTGACAGTAC